TAGAGATAGACGATGCAAAAGCAGATTGAAAGAGTAAGAGGATTATATAGTAAAGTGATTTCAGTGTCCTCATTCCCTTGCTTGGAGATAGGCATTGGGGCATCTTTTTCTTTACTACGTAAATAAAATTCAGCACCCCTTTTCTCCAAGATGCAAATGGCTGCATCTGATTCAAGCATGGACTGACCTGCTGGAGTCAGTCCTGTTCAATAAATATCCAGAAACCCCACTTACACTGTCATCATCCGCATCTATGTTGAAGTTTATCTCTGCAATCCTGTCAAAAGGTGCACTGCAAAGAGAAATCTGCATAAGGGCTTGGAGCAACAGGGACAAAGACAGCTAAACATATAAAGACACTTTGCAACCCAACTTCTCTGCTGTTCTCTGCACACTCACTGCTGTATTATTCCAACCCAATGATTTCTTTACTCTAGTCCTTGAGGGGGAAAAATAACGTAACCTTGTATTTCTGCTTCTCTGCAGATACCACTTGAAGGATAAATACCCCTAGATGTTGTTCAGCTCCTTAACATGAGACCAGTGGGACTATCCTAGCTCATAAGGTATTTTGACCGTATAGAGCAATGTAGCGGAACAGAGAATAAACCAAGCCTCTAATGGCTGTCACGTGCCAACTCCTGCAAAGTATAAATGCTGCCTGCAAATGTCTGTCAGTTCCTTCAACTGAATCAGAGACAAAGCTCCCAAAGATGAGGCCAATTCCAGCTGATCACAAACCTCTAAGAGCTTCTCATATAATCATGTTCCGTCCTTACTGATCACTTATGTAGCTGCTCAAAGTGCCTAGTGGATAATGATGCAAATCACAAAAATCATCAAATAGCTCACACTGGCACTTAGATTACGAGAGACCATTACTAGAACGGGAAAGGGTTCCACAGGGCAAGAGTGCAGTTCATTGGAATAACCTGAGGGGATTGAGGAGGGGGATTTTATGCCACATCTACACATGCTTAAATCTGGGCAGTGTTATTTATGTCTCAAATGTTATCAATTAAAGCTATTAAGTTAGTGCATCTGTTGTAAAATATTAAAAAATATTCAAATGACCATCCTACTAAAAAAAGGGTCATTTTTAATTATATCTTAAGTTACTTCTTTCACAGGTTTCACCAACAAATATCCTACACTGGAAGAGCCTTTGTTTTCTTCTCTCTCCCTTCCTATTCATCCTCATGGGAATGGACAGTATGTTCCAGCTACAATTCTCGTTCAGCTCCAGTTTTACATTAACTGTCTCTACATGACTCCTGGTAGAACTTATGCTGCTTCCCCCCTCTCCCCCCCACAAATTGATTTAATTCCTATTTTATTACAAAATGGGAAAAACAATTACCCCATAATCAGTCAATTGCATGCTGGATTGGAACTTGTTGGCCCTATTAATGGCCCTTAGGACCACAATGCTCAAGAAAAAGGCTAGAGAATATCTAAGATCCTCCCTTCACACTGAAAAGTAGCTTCCATTTATTTAAATATCATTCTAGTGGAGACCCTAGAACTTTGAGAATCCTGAGACCTTCAGAGCTAGATAGTACTGACAGCTTTCAGGACATACTGGTTGGTACTTTCCTGAGGGTGACTCTAAAGATGGTACAAACTCATCTGAAGCTGGCATACAACATGAAATAGCAATTTGAAAACAGTTATTTTACTCAGGACCTGGTAGTGACTGAAGCTCTGCCATGAAGAGAACAAACAATGAACTTCCCAATAACTCAAATTCAACGGGAGCTGCAAAAGATTCGAAGAGTCATTTTGCTACCACAGAGCTTTCCAGGCTAAAAACTGCCCCTTTCCACTGATCACCAGGACACTAAGTCCAGCCTCTAGCATTTTTCTATTTGAAATTAAGTCTCACAAAATGGAAGGAGACCTCTAACTTTTTACTGCTATATGAAATACAGTTATAAGATGTTATACTTTATTTTTAATGACAGAAACCTATAAGGGTGGTGATAATCTCGGGAGATGGGGATGAGGAGGTGTTTTTAATGAGATTAGCATCTCTTACGTAACAGCTGCACAGTCATTATCACTTAGGGTATGTCTACAGTGCAGTGTAAGCCCGGGTTTGAACTCAGGCATAGCCTATCCGCCCCATCCTTCTAGCTACAACAACTCACACAAACTGAGGGCTCAGACCCTGGGTCGCAGGACGCCACGGGGTGAAGAGTCCAAGCCTGACTTAAGTCAGGACCCAGGGTTCAAGCTCTATTGATTTGCAGTGAACTCATGCTGTGGGGGTTTGTTTACATTGCAATAAAACACCTGCGGCTGGCCTGTGTCAGCAGACTTGGCCTTGCAGGGCTATAGAATTGCCATGTAGACCTTCAGGCTGGGCTCTGAGACCCCCACCACTTCAGAGCCCAAGCGAGAACGTCTATGCCGCTACTTCTAGCCTTGTAGATTGAGGCTGCAAGCACAAGCCTGGGTTCCAAGATTCACCGCCGAGGGTTGGATATTTGGGGGGGGGGGTGGAGCTGGGGGGGCAGTGTAGACGTACCCTAAGATTCTGTAACACGAAAATCCACCCACCTCTCCCTTCTTAATGGTTTTTGGAATTGCCATATCACTTGCATGCTTCCTTCTACATGAGGAAGATGAAGATTTCCTCGGGGACTTTATCTGACTGCCAATCTTCAACTGTAGACATGACAAAACTGGAAAAATGAACTCACTTGATATTGTCATCCTGGTCTGCAAACTCTTCGTCATTGAAGCCAAACTGATCCACAAAGTTGGCTGTCATCTGTTGGATTTGGTACTCTGAGAATGCCTGAGGGATGCAACCAGAGACTGGTTATAAGGCCATTCAAGGAGTTTAAAATAAACATTACAAGAAGATGCTGCTAATCAAGCCTATCCCACCCATGGTCTACTCCTCTGAGTTGGTTTGCCGCCTAGCACAATGGGGCCCCATTCTTGGATGGCCCTTAGGCACTACTATAATAAACTTAACTATATAATAGAATAGTTCAATTTTCCAGGCTAGGCATCTCCACCACTATTGTTTGTTAGGACTTTGCTGCAGTAGCCAGCAAACACCTGTTTTTCTGACCCTCAGTATATTGAAGTCCTCCTGTTAGCACTGCTGTTGAAACTGCCATCCCACCAGTGCAAGGGGGAAATTCCCATTTCCCTTGTAGAGAGAAGTCAGTTAATTTCCCTTGTTTTTATGGGGGGCTTTAACATAGCAACTAGGGAAAGAAAAACACTGGGGTGAAAAGAAAAGTGTTTTTGCAAAACCACAGAAGTTGGCTGGGGGACTCAGGTGAAAGGGTAAGTAACCTGAAACTCATTTTTTGAACCTCACTAGATTTCAGGTTAAGGGTGTCCCTTCAATCCCCACACCTGGTTTTATATGACTAGCTAAAACTGAACTACCTAAAATGTCTTTGCTGGATCTAATGTGCCCTGCCCTTTCTTAAACTCCGCCTCTACTTTCCCCACGAGTCTAGAGACACTTCTCCTCCCATTCTACTCTCACCTAACAATCACTATGCAAATACACCCTTCAGCAGCCCTCACAGAGTGCTCCTGATGACGAGGGCCAGATTTATACACAGGCAAACTAGGCACCTAGGGCCAACATTCATTGGAGGGGGAGTGGGCCCGCCATGCAGTACACTCACTGTGGTCAGGTTGCCATACTACAGATCCGCCAGGACCAGCTGCTCATCCTGCCACTACTCAGGGCCCTGCTCACTATGACGGAAGCACAGGCAGGCCAAACCTGAGTGGTGCTGTGACCTCGTGCACGAGGTCAC